AAGTGTTAAGCGACCAAAACTTTGGTAAGTTCATCCCTGAGATCACCTACGCTAACATTCATGAATCCAGAGCGCCCAAAATTCCCACTTCTAGTTACTAATTCCCCTTTCCTGATCGTCATCTCGTTGCTTTATTAACGGCACCAAATTTTTAACTACTGCTGCTGCTACACTTGGATCAACTGTGCAACATGCAGTAGTACAGCACCATTTCATTTTCGCACACTATCACGAAATCAGAAAATTATTCAAAAGGGTTTCCAATCTCACTGGAATACTTAAAACATTTTGATGGGACCTTAGCAATATGGTCGAGTATTCCGGTAAAAATATCACACAGAGTCACGTATGCCTATTCGAACCCACATACTTTTCTCTTTAAAGTAAAGACAAATGATTACTGGTCCTTCAGGTAGTGATACCAACTAAAACACTTTACCTGAGGATGTGGATAACAACATGCTCTCAGTTGCTAGGCTCCTACTGGAAAAAGATTTCCTTTGGCAGTTAAACAAATTAGTGTTTGTGTGATATGAAACGTCTAACATGAATCACAGAATAGTCCCTTGCGCGAACAATTAAATCGGTGGAAGGAAATGGTTTGCTCATGATACCACGACAAAGCATAACTAGCAACAAACCTGATGTTAACTTCAATACCACCTACATTGGCCAGATTTGTCGCGACGACCAGGAAACTACTTAGTCCGTGGACAATGCCCACAATTTAAATTTGTCGAGGAAGCAAATGCCGTTTTGTGAAGGCATGATAACTTGATGTGTGATGCTCGATTTGGGCGCATTCTCTATATTCGCTCCGCCCACCGTTTTGTCTTTTTGATAGGAGTGAGGACGACAGCTGTTTATTCGTCGCGTTAGTTTGAATTAAGTCCTGCCACTGAAGTTGGACATTTTTACCAGTTTTCCAAATAAACACCTTTCTAGGACGGAAATGTACCCAAAGTTTTAGAAATATCATTACACAATGCTTAGAAATACATGCCTTTGCAAAACTTGACTTTTACCACTCCATGACTACTGATTACAAACGCACATACCGATGGACAAAATAAGAGAGATGCATAGAACTCATTGCCCCGTTCACAAAAACACACTAAGAGGAGGGATTTAAGTAAGCAATGTCTAAATAAGTAAATGAATAAGTGAGGAGGAACTTGCGTGCATCACACACCCGCGAATGAGCGGTCTTAAAGTTACGCTTAGCTCTAAAGCGCTAACAGCGAGTATGTAACGAGATGAGGCTGGGAGAAAGCAACTACCCATGGGATATTGTCAGTTAATTCAAAACTAGCAAATGCCAAAATACTGTAACTCCTACTAGCGGCATGAAGACTGCAGCTTATAATAAGAAATGTCGAAAGTGAGCAATATTTTGCACCAGATACACCAGGCATCAATGTACCGCGTCTAAACATCCCTCTTATCATGAATTACTTCACCACAGCACCAGATCATCGATTTTGACAATAATGGAATCAGATGAATTCCACATAGGCTGCTGGATATTCACTTTAGTCGCCGACATGACTAGAACTCGAGAAGGACTGTGGTTTAGCATGTTCCTGCAGCCCACGATATCAAAATCTCTCAAATGTGCATGGGTATAGAGGAACAAACATACGATTAAAATAACCGCAAACGTGTGGTTACTCAGACGGTAATACCACATTGATAATGATATCTGAAAGCAACCTTCAATAACTAGGCCGAGTGAGGCTCCAGACTATCCACTATAAGGTTTCTGATGCTTTGCCAGATAGTAAAATTCTGGTTTGGCACTTTCACTACAATTCTCAACCATGTATCATAGCAATATGGGAACACGTGTTCCCCAACTGCGTTGCGTTCGCTACAATTAGGTCAACAAATAAAATCAGTTATTCCGTTTATAGAAATGCCTTCATCGATGAACGTACTATGCGTTTTCACCAGCTATCGCCTAAAAATGGGGATGTTTCGTTAATAGCACCTCTAGAGTAGAAATTGTGGCAAGGTTAGGTGACATCGACTTGATGTCGAGATCACCTCTCTCCAGAGGGATGTGGAGGCTGTTCCACCTCTCTTCTACTGACGAACTGGAAAAGCTCATGCCCCCGAAGACAAAAGAAAACACATCGTTTCTCATCCAATCGGTAGAATCATTGAGCTGCATTTAGTGGGGTTCTGGCAGTTTGATGAGAAATGGGGTCTTGTACTGGTCTTGCTTAAAAAGAGAGCACAGCTCCGGAATGAGAGGGTAGTAAACCCATTTCGTCGCATTTCGGCTGATCAGCTTGGCACAGAGCTCACTTCGTTTGTAATATTTGCTTGCCAACTCAAGTCAGCCATTACATTGCCCTCCCATTTTAGTGATTTCCCACTCAAAACTCAAGCCAGCCAGATATCATTGCTGCTGTTACAATCAGGCCCGCGCAAAACGCATGCGGTTCGAGGAAGTTGACGATGATGGATAAAAGGTGAAGGTAAGAGAGGAAAGCTGTTGGAGCGATATGGAATGTAGTGGCATTTTGTGTGAGAATTTATTTGGTCTATTAGCAAATGGGGCTTAGATGACCTGTAGGAAAACAGGGATCGAGCAGAAGTTCGCGACACATCTGTCCACTAGTCACAAGATTAATCACTCGAAATACAATCCAATCTGAGCATCGTAGTAATACAGACAAGCCTCGAAACAACCCAATGGTAAATACAGTTGAGTATTATGAGTAGATTTATGATGCTGCGTATGTAGCAAGCAAATAATCTGTCATGGGTTACTGCTATGTTCGGTGGCATTCGCAGTCGCTTGACATATCTCGCCGTAATCACAATCAGTAGCATTTTACTACAATTTATTGACAACATTTTTTCAAATGTTTAAGCTCTTAGTTCTGCATTCGTTGCGGCTTACGATAGGGGTATGGAATTTCAAAGATGAAGAACATTATCTAGTTTACAGTAGTATGACGGCGCTGCATTTCACTTTTTTAAAATTTATTTTATAAGCAGGGAGGCAGTCCAAAGCTAGTGGATTTGGCTTAATGGATAAGTGACATTGAGATCAAATACATCAGTTGCTCGAAAATTAGAAGAATGGCGTGGCTAACTTATTTGATGCTTTTTAATGGACGATGATTAGGGTAGCAACATTGGGCCAGTGATTTGTGAAGGTAGAAGTCTGCTCTCGTAATCCGGAAAACGGAGAAACGTAGGTGCCTCCTAGAAGAAATTTCATTGGATATACGGTAAGTCTGCATTTACTCAAAGAAAACCTTCCTAAAATTGTACCATAGGAGTGCCATCTTATTCATAAACAGCTCTCTAATAAAGAGGTGGCTCAGAACCTAAGTCGGCTATGGACGGGGCCAAAAAATAAATCCAATCGCAAGTTAAAGTTTTCATTGAAATGAAATAAAGTCGCATGTTAAGCATACCGTTGTGACGTTTGGGTACACAATTGATAACGCTTTGACGATAAGTATCTTAAACCATATTTGTTAGACTTAACTAGAATTGGTCTCTGCCTACCTTTCGATTGGGTACCGATTGCCAGAGGTAGGGTACCTTGGGTTGTTTGAGAAGGTGGAATACAAATCTGTTGGTACTCAAAACCATTGTTCGTCCACAGAATTGCAGAGCTACGGACAATTATTAGTCCCTATATAGGTGCTTTGAAGGTGTTAAAGATGTAAATCAGAGGGTAAACAAACTAGATTTGTCAGATACAAATGGCATGCCACTAAGAGCATCGTTAGATACTACTTTGGACTCACCCCTATAGTTCATGAGCTGAGCATTCATCCGCAGTTACTTTCACAGGCCTATCACAGTCGCAAAATAATGTACTAATTCTTCGAAAGTAGTTTGCGATACCGCTGAAATAATCATTTTATTACAGAGAGGCTCGATGCCTCGATCTATTTCAGCGAATGGAATGCGTGATGTGATGTTACATCGGCATTTATAAAAACGCGATTATGACGCTTAAAACTGGAACATTAGAATCTCGAAAATAAACCTGTATCCATGGGTGAAGTGAAGCGGAAACCTTTATCGAGTGCAAAACAAGGTATGGTTGGAGCCTCAAACAACTCTATACGTAAACGTCTTTTCTCAGCTATGCCATAACATCCTTAGGGGAACAAATTGTCGGCAAGAAGCTAAAGCCAAACCAAGATCTACAATTTGGAGTCAAGGAAGTATTCATCGAATAAAACCTATTAACATTGACGTGTTTTAAAGAAACGTATTAAAATGTCCGATCTCCTTTTGAAGCCAAGACTTTGGAAATCCTAGAATCGGTGTGACCGTTCCATTTCATTGGAGATCAGTTCCAGCAAATCATCATATTCGGGCAAATGCGGGAACTTTTTTTTGATTTTTCCAGAAAGTGAGTCACCACAATATTAAGACAAGGCGTTCCATAACAGACGCATGTGGCATTTTAACTAGTCTAATAGCTCCCCAAAGGCACCACCTATTCAAAGTCATCAAGATTCCGCACTTTGTCGTATTATTCAGCCTCACAAGAAGTGTGCTGCAGGTAAAATAAGTGTTTTAATAGATCAAGCACCGAAAGTAGCTACTCGTTCAACTGAGCTACTGTTTTTGCTTTTTCTGGAGATGGCTCAAAGTCAGTTGATCTGACATGAGGTTGAAATTTTTAAAGAACTGGAAGTATTGACCCACATTCCATGACGGAGAACCGTAATGCTAAATACTTCCTGTCCAGCTTGGTATACTTGTGGGGGTATCTACTAAATCCAGAGCGTCAAGTAAATC